GTGGGATATGCCAGTGGGGTCATTGTGAGGAGCACTACAACTCCGGATCACCTGCCCACAAGAACTTTGCTCATGTCTACTTATAACACACTACCCCCATGAATTGGAAATATCTCCCCCTGTATATACCATTTAGGAGAATGAGATGTTATCCATGTGTAACTCCGATGTTATATGGATAGGCATGGGCAAAGTTTGTATGGGCAGGAGATCCAGACTCGAGCACCAAGTGTGGAGCAGATCCGGATTCGTAAGAGCATAAGAAACACTGGTATTGTTGCTGGGATTGAATTAGAATGTCAAAACAGAATAAAAAGATATAATTCCCATGGTTAGGGCAAGATCCTGTAGATGGTCAAGTGGATGTTGTCATAATATTTATACAACCTTGAGTCTCTAACCCTAACCCTACATGGCCAAAATCCGTAATTGTCCTTACTCTTTATGCCATTCTAATCCGGTTTTATAGTTATACATGCATTATGCCACTCTAATCCGTTTCCTTTCTATCTTGTTTAGAGCAGGGCAATGTAATTCAAAATTGCAAAAGACGAGAGGTAAATTGACCCAAGACAAGCTACTCACGAAGTCTAGGTTCCCCCGTAAACAAGCCTCGCACAAAACTTTACCAGTCACTAGAATAGACGACAGTTTATTTTTTTCCTCGTATTTGGCCATTCGTGCTAGGTTCGTATTATTTTTTCGTACTTGTTCCAATGAGTTCTGTGTTACTGCGATCGAAGCTCTAACCACAAATGAAAGAATCATGACATAAAAGCAACCCTTGAATTTACAGAGCATGTATGTTTTCATTTATCTAGCTTTAATGCTTTTCAATTGCTATCTAGTCTTGTCTTGAAAATCTGATCTGTTGGGTTTTGATGGTGCACAATCCGGCTGGTCCTAGCTGTCAACGACCTTGTCTCTGAATGGAGCTACAGGGAACCTGAAACAGAGAAAATGAGGAAGCTCCGGAGGGAACCCGGTATGAATGCTCCGAAGCTCAAGTTAGAATTCTTAGGCAAGATAAAACCAGATGGCGCAAAGTTCACGTACCTTGTTCTTGGGGGTAGGGAGCATTTTATAGCCACCTCGTGCACTCACTCCTAAGCTTCTATCAGGTCGGGCATGATTACCTCTGGTCTCCTGCCAGTTCAGGTGTCATCCCCTCTGTTGGACAGAACCGCCACTGCTCCCTTTTGTCGGAACCGTCTCTGCGACTGGCAATGACGATGGCAGGTGGCGGTGGTAGGTGACCGTTGAAGTGCGGCTGTCAAGCGTCAGATCCCAAGTCAGTCAGGTGCGCCGCCCTTGGATACGAACCTCCTCGATGTCAGGTATGGTATGTTTGTTAAGTTCGACGTCCTGGAGGCGAAGTGCTGGAGTGGCGAGTGAGGTGAAGTCTTGAATTCGGATAGGGGAGTGTCCCGAACTGCCATGAGGCGAGCCAGTTCGAGTCACTGGCTTGTGTGGCTCGGGGCCTAAGGGAGAGTTCGGGCTCCTCGTAGGGAGTTCGGGCTCTTAGTAGGGAGATTGAGCTCTTAGTAGGGAGGTCGGACTCCTCGTAGGGAGTTCAGGCTCCTAGTAGGAAGTTCGGACTGCTGGTTTCCTCCCTTTGGTGCTTGCGCCTTGGGTGCGCTGTTGTGGCGAGCTATTTGTCTTTGCCACGTGTTGAGTGATTACAAGGTCGGGCCAAATCTTCCTTCATCAGGTTTTGTTCTAAAAATTTCAATTGTAATTTATTGGTTTTATTTTGAAAATTTAAAGAACAATCAAGTGATGTAAAACTTGGGGTATCTTAATAGTAGCCATAGCTTAAGTATTTTATTTCTCTCTCTCTCTCGTTGGAATCTGTCGAATCATGTTGGAAGAGCGTTGGAACTTTTTTTGTTGAGAGGAGCTGGGCTCCTCTCTCTCTCTCTCTCTCATTTTGAAAGATGGTGGGAGACAAAATGCCTCTTGTGTCGTGTCCACTCATATAGATTTTATTTTTTTCAATTAAGAGAAGAGGATATACTTATTTGTTAATGAGTTGTTTGTTGAAGGGGTAACTTTTTAAATATAAAACCATAAATAAATAACAATTCCAATGCATAAGCCAAGCCCTCCATCTGATCATGTACTTGCATATTGCAAGTTGCAATTGTATCTGCTAGCATGAACTGCTTTGTTAATAGATTGTTCGTTGAAGTGGTTAGTTAAAACTTAAAATGTATAGGATAAAACCATAAATAAATAGCAATTCCCAAAAAAATCCAATGCACGCTGAAACGTGCATGTGGGTTGCGCTGTTTGGGGGAGCCAAGGAGATTGAAAGTTGCAACAGTTTGCCGTTGGGTTTGCATTATTTTGTCATTATTAGGTGAACAAGGAGGATCTTCTTTAACAAAGAAATGGAAAACGAGGTCAATGAATCTAAATCGGGGTGTAGCCCATTCACCTGCTCCAAACGTCTTCAAAACTCTTCAAAAGCCAGCATTACCTCCTCAAGCTTCATAATAAACAACTGTAATTTGATTTCAATCTTGGAAACCCATTCGTCCCTGTTAAGTTCTTCCTTTCACTTCATTCTGAATCCTTCCTATCTGAGTAAATAATGAACTTGAGGTGCACCCTGTTTAATTTCATTGTTCTTCACCTATTGACTCTTTTGATCTCTTCTTTTTATTCAATTAATGCTCTCGATTCCCCTGTTGCCAATCTCTCCACTTCTTGGACCAACAACGACAACCTTTCCCATTATGTGACTTTTGGCGATGGGTCCAAGGTGAGGTCCCTTCTCAGAATTCCAGCAGTAACCGGCTACCGATTTGCCTGTGGCTTCTTCTGCAACGATACTTGTGATTCCGCCTATTTTGCTGTCTTCATTATCTTCGTTAACAGTGGAGCTGTCATTACAACTTTACAAGGATTAATGTGGACTTCCCACAGGTAGTCTGGTCTGCCAATCGAGACCACCCTGTTAAATTAAATGCAACCTTGAACCTCACGGCAGATGGAGATTTGATCTTAAAAGACGTTGATGGTACGGTTGTTTGTTCGACAAATACAACTGGTAAGTCTGTAGCAGGCTTAAACACGACTGCAACAGGAAACCTCGTGCTCTTCGACAGAAGCAACAATACCGTCTGGCAGTCTTTCGATCACCCAACCGATTGTTTGGTCCCTGGGCAGACTTTGGCGGAGGGGCAGAAGCTCACTGCTAGCATATCCGCTTCAAACTAGACTCAAGGTGTGCTATCACTTACTCAGGTTTGTTTGCTCAGGCTGAGTCCGATCCTCCGCAGATCTATTTCGAAAGGACGTTTGGCACCAAGAAGAACAAAGAGCCGAGCTATGCGAGATTCCTGAATGGAAGTCTGGCTCTGTACACATTGTCTTCCGAACCAAACAAGCCAGATGATATTATAACTGGGCCTACGGCGTCGTCATCAATTCAATACATGAAGTTGGGTTCGGACGGGCATTTGAGAGTTTATGAGCCGACAGTATGATTTGGGTGGAAGGAAGTAGCTGATTTGTTGAAAGATTATCGTGGAGTGTGATTACCCTACAGTGTGGGAAATATGGTATTTGCTCAGATGGGCGGCAATGCAGTTGTCCCGAGGAATCAGCATCAACGATACCTATTTCAGGCAATTGGCTTATATGCAACCCAATCTGGGCTGTTCCGAAAGTATTCCCTTGGCTTGTGAAGCTTCACAGTATCACAGGCTTATAGAGTTCGCGGACATTACTTCACTTTTATGGTGCTACTATGGAAAACTGCAAAAAGGCTTGTTTGAAGAACTGTTCTTGCAAGGCCGCTTTGTTTTTTCGATTCACTGATAATGACTCGATTGGGATTTGCTTTTTACCATCCCAACTCTTTTCACTAATAAACAATCACAACGATAAGCGCTACTTTTATAATTCATYTGCGTTCATTAAGGTGCAGATATTACCGGCTTCAGTGCCTCCCTCATCACATGTTACTCCCACACCATCCTTTCCGGAAAAGAAAACAAGCCAGATTGCAATAATATTGGGATCTAGTCCTGCAGGTTTCTTTGCTGTTATTCTTGTAATTAGCATATGGTTTATTCTTTATAGGAAGAGAAAGGATGGCGAAGAAGATGAAGAGGATGATTTACATCAACTATCGGGAATGCCTATGAGATTTTCTTATGAAGATCTGAGAAATGCAACAGAGAATTTTAACAGGAAGCTTGGAAAAGGAGGATTTGGATCAGTTTTTGAAGGGACTCTGGGGAATGGAACCAAAGTTGCAGTGAAGTGCTTGGATGGTTTAGGGCAAGTGAATAAGAAGTCATTATTAGCCGAGGTTGAGACAATTGGGAGCATTCACCACGTTAATTTAGTAAGACTGATTGGATTTTGTTGGAAGAAATCACACCGGCTTTTAGTTTATGAGTACATGTGCAATGGTTCTCTAGATAAATGGATCTTCTCCAGAAACCAAGAATTCTCTCTTGATTGGCAAACTAGAAGGAATATCATCTTTGATATGGCCAAGGGGCTAGCCTATCTACATGAACATTGCAGGCAGAGAATAGTGCACTTGGATATTAAACCACAAAATATACTCTTGGAATGACAACTTTGAGGTGTACATATATTGTTCCTTAATAATATGGGTGAAGACTAAAATTCTTGATACAGCTTCTCCAACTATAGTGCTTTACATTTTGGTTTGTTTCTTGCTAGATATTTCCTCAGTTATCAGTCTAATTAAGGCATGGGCTCTTTATACCATTCATTGCTTCTGGTTTCTCTTCCTGATTCTTTTTATTTAATGTTTTGAATTATAAACTTTCATAAGAATACAGATTCAATTTAGCCATTTCTTTAGTTTTGGAGTTTTGCAGTTGCTGGAGCACCACCAAATCATAATTACCTGATTTTTGTTTCACTTCATTTTAGAGGAACTGTACACTATCATTCTATTTTTGAAACTAAGGATGATAATAGCCAATATTTGATTTTCCAGGGTCCTTAGTAACAGAATAGATTGCAAAATCATAATTCCAATGACCTTTTCTTTTGACACACTCAAATCTCCTCAAATTGTTTGACATTTAACTAAAGCAATCACTTAGAAGAGTCGTCCATCTCACTTAAACTTTCCAAATGGAAAAGGCTAATATGATCAGTAACTCAGCATCAAATTTGCCTGACGGTCATCTACTTTTCTTTAATTGCTCTGCTTGCCTTTATTGAGTCTGGTACCCAGAAGTTGTTCTCTAGCTCTGTTCAAAATGCTCTAGACAACACTGAACAAAGTTCTGTATAATTGAATGGGCATATTTCATTACTAATTTTATAGTCATCCAAACAAGCAAACTCAACTGTTTTAGGAATGATCAATGATCCAGAAATGAGGTCTGATTTAGCCAGGAATTTGGTAATTTACAAATGCCAACAGAATAATGAGTAGAACATGGTTACTAAAACATTGACATGATTGGGTGCACGTGTTTGTTCCACTTCCACCATGTATCAGGATTCAAGAAAGTTAATTGGTTAATACAATGTTTGAAGAATTTACTAGAGAAGAGATTTAAAATGATTATCCAAACAATGAACTCTTGAATATGACTTTATTTCATTCCATAGCCTCCCAACCCATGGTAGTACACTTTCAAAGTGCCCATTAGTCCCATCATATCAATAATGATGGTGCAGTAATGCAGTTATCAAGACCAATTGGATGCAAGCAGGCTTATTTGAAGAATTATCTTTGTCTAATATGTTGTCTTGGTATGTTAAAGATTTTCAGTTTGATATTGCTGCTCTTGTCCCCTGCTTTTCACTACCTTAGTTAGCCAGAGAGATGAAGCAAGGAAAAGTGGCCAACAGGAATTCCAGCAAGCTTTTCTCAGGAAGACCAAAACCAGCCCCAAAGGTCTTACAGAAAGCTTAGAGATAGAGAAACTATTAGGACTTCATTTTCATTCCTGTCAAGAGATTTCTCTATGTTGTCTTCCATGTAATTGTGGTGAATATCTAGAAAATATTTATCCAACTACAGTAGCTGTTATTGAAAAATATTAGCAGGTTTGGTGTCATCATAACCTAGATAGTATGCATTTTTGGTGTTGAGCTGTTGAGTATTGTATCTGGGTTCCCAAAGTCAATTCATATATGCTAATTCCCAAAATCAATTGATAATATGCTAAGCACGTGGCATTCTAGATGCTCATGCTTCTGGTGCTATCCTAGGAAGCATAAGCCATTATGAACTTTAAGAAACTAGAGAACAGAAGCTGGTCTTTGGTGACTGTAGTTCTTTATGGTTGTGGTTTAGGACTATACATATTAAGAAAAAGCAAAGCAGGGGCAAAGACATGGAGTGTCTATGGCTTGGTGCTGCAATGCATGCATAAGGGCATATAGAGCTTTTCAAGTGGATCCAATCCTAGGTTCAAGTAGTACTCAAAAAATTATATGGGGTAAACTGCTGAAACCTCCCCTGAAGTTTCTGACTGTTTCTGAAACCTCCCCTGTAGTTTGGTCATTGCAATTGGCTCCCCTGAACCTTTTGACACAGTTGCAAATATACCCCCTTTATTAGAATCCTCTAATAAAAGGCACAAAAATGTTCAAAATACCCATTCAGTTACTTTTGATCAAAATGTTTATTTTCTAAATTTTCACCTCATATGAATGGCTAGCCCAAACCCTTCCAATCTCTTTTCTAAAATAGATTTATTTTCCAAATTTACCCTTCATATCAATCACTCAAAGGTAAAGTTGCAACTTTAAATTCTTTTTTTTTTATAGTTTATAAAGTTTGTATTGTTTTTTCTTTCTGTAGAAACCAGCCTCAATAGTAATTGCATGGGTATTTTGGACATTTTCATGCCTTTATTAGAGGATTCTAATAGAAGGGATCTACTCGCAACTGTGTCAAAGAGTTCAGGGGAGGTGATTGTAATACCAAACTTCAGGGGAGGTTTCAGAAATTTACCCAAATTATATGTAATAATTAGAAACAATCTGTTGCAAGCTTAAGCAGCTAAAAGGGCTTGTGGCAGATCAAAAAGGACATAGGTTGAAGTAGTAAGAAATGATTTAAGTGCTCATAATTAACAATGAATTTGACACTGAACAGAATGGAATGGCAAAAAAGGATTCATGTGGCCAACCCCATATAGCTGGGACGTGGCTTAGATGATAATGACGAATTAGACAAGGTTCCAACTTTAACGTTTAAACAGAGTTCCATGCTAAGACCCTCCGGAGTTGCAATTCATGTCAAGTTGATACATTAGAGCTAATCTTATGCAACCCAATAATTAAAATTTTATATTAACTACTGTAACAATTTGTCTTCATCATGCAATTCATGCACAACTATCATGTACGACAGCCATGCAAGGTCAGTGGCAATGCAGATACTCATGCCACTTTTAACATACTTGAGAATGGAAAGGTGGGGTGGGTGGTAATCGTGCAAGAACAAACTATGAATTTTCTGAACTGAAGATGACCTCAAAAGGAATAAATACGACCAACAATAGTCTGTAAGTCCTGGCACATGAATGCTGATTTCAAGGGTCTATGGAAGCATTTCCTCAATAGTCAGCCAGTGACTTCGGTAGGACTTAGGAGGATATAGGGAAAGTAAGCTTCATATTTGACCTAGTGTTAAGGAAAACCAAAGAATTAGCCTGATTGGTCTTCTTCTTATGCTTTTTAGAGGCTGAAAGCCCAAGACTGGCTGTTTTATTGGGCATAACTCTCCAACAAGGGGAATGTTGAAGATCATAAGTAGTATATTGTAATTAATTTGTAATCACCATTATGAAGCTGGCTTAGCTTCCCTCTAGTGCCTAAATCTTGATGGAACAATTGCCATTACTAGGTATATATGGGTAAGTTCCTTCCTCTGCAGTTCAGATTATTCAGAGTGATCAATAAAGTTAGTTTTCTCTCATATTTATGAATATAGATTAGGTCACACCTTCCGTTGCTGTGGATCTTGGAGCTCCTGTGAACATCTTCTGTAAGCCAATTTCGTCTAACCTAACTTATCAAAAAATATTTCGTCTAACCTAACTTATCAAAAAATATTTCGTCTAACCTATCAGGACAGCAATCCAGACTCCTATTGGGAAACCTCTGCCTTGTGTGAGAGTGTCTAGACAAAGACAGATAGCTGTTCAACCTTGCAATGCAACATACCGTTAACTCACATCAATGTATGGATAAAATTCATGCTTCGTCAGAGAGCATTCATTTTTTGGCCATTGTGTTTAAATAATTTGCTACATCAGTATAGCAAAAGGGCCATTTCATGGTGAAATGGTAAAATATGCAGGTACACTGTGTTATGCTCCCTCAGCCTAAGTAAGCTACCATAGGCATCAATAACCTATTCCAAACGAGCAACAACAATACCACATCAAGTTTTGGCAGGCATACATATATCATCAATTACAACCAACTGATTTGATACCAGACAAGTACACAAATATAAGTGCTTACCTCCTCAGACAACCATCCCTTCTTGTTAAAAATAGAGAGGAGATTAGCTTCGTCTAGGGATAGATCATTGGTCTTCCATACATATTGATCCCTCCCTATCCAACAAAGACACAAGGATAAACATATATGTGGCATGGGTGAATGACTAATATGGTGAATGAAAAAGATACAATTCTTACTCTCTAATATCCTTGTGCAAGAACCTCTTCACCAACTCCACGTCCTTCACAGCCAATCACTCCTCATTTAATGATGCCCAAAGTGATACCCCACTCACTCTCTGTCACATTAAAGGAAATAATGATTAAACAACAAAGTGATAAAATTGCATAAATAGTAGATTTCATTTCACCTTTTTCCATAGCACTCATGTAGAACCAGCCGCAACAACAAATTTTTTAGCCATCTGCCCATCACCGCCTGGGGGGTCGAAAAAGGGACACAACAAGGCTACTTAGAAACCTCTCCCGCTTACCCAAAACATGCCCACGTCTGTCCATGTTCAAACCACTAGTACATGGTGAAACAATCTTGCACGAAGCCAGCATGCTTCCCCCAAATGACTTAGTGGGTGAGGTGGGATCTAAACCAATAGGCAGCAAGGTCAATGTGTCATCTTCAAAGGGTGGTACCTCTTCCTTCTGTATTTCATTCCCCTCACCAACAACATATCTCTACCCGGGACAGATATCAGGATCGATGCCACTAGCTACCAATGTTCCATGTAATCGTTCAACCTCATCCTGCAACCAATCAATCTCCCTCACATAGGAACCTACCTGACTAGACTTCCTGGTCAAGTGCTTGAACTTATAGAATCAACACATCGTGGACACACACCCTATAGCACCAGGAACATCTCCCCACATTAGTCGGGTAATACACAAATAATACAAAATATTTTTTTTGACTCTTGTGCACCATGATTTTGTTCCGAAGTGACAGAATCCCAGAACATCGCTCTATGCCTGGCCTCTCATCAGCCGGTACATTGGTGATAGGCAAGAGATCCTACATAACAAGGAAACTAACAAGCCCCACCATGAGTGAAACCACACCATCCACATAGCCAAATTTTCTACACATACTGCAATTCAAGACTTCGAACTAGTCTTGCCGCATCATGCTCCACGAATGAATCACCATCAACACAACCACCTGGATTTTACGTCTCGCCCATCACAAGTGGTGGTGGGATTGATATCCTACGTGTTAAAATCATATAGACACACATAGTTGAATAACATGCCCCATGAAAAAATTTGCATAAGGTAATAAATGGTGTTCATGATAAGATTACAAGTGGATTATCCCTCACCTCCCCTGAGAGATCCACGTTCACTAACCCCAATTCATATTCTACCAGGATCAGACTATCAACCACTTGAACAATAAATAATATAGTCATAACTAGGGGTAAGAGAAAGATGAACACCCAGACATGACAACTGATATTATCATCACAATATACAAGGCTTCATTAATGGCACCTGCCATTCCAGAGTTAGTCTTCTTAAGCAATCCCTACAACTATTGCTCCAGCTATCCACCATATTGCCCCACCTGAATAGTCTGGCATGGCATTTAGGTCTGTGAGCTTGAATGATGTACTATGCTCGTACAACCATGCCTACAAATGAAAGGAATCAAAGATTTTATTTTTCCAATAACAGACAACATTGTTCCATACCATATTATATGAGAAATTGAACAAATAAATATGAGTATATGACAAAGTTAGCCACCCACCAACAGCGCAACAACACAACCAAACAAATTCCCCAAATACATGCTTTGACCATCGCTATTAGACAGATGAACACCACTAACAACTCTATCAAGTGCACATACAAGGAATTAATGCACACAACATGCCCATGAATAATTATAATCCCCAATATGCACCAAGACATCGACATATTCCACCAAAAACAGTTAACTCTAGGCCCACTTTGGGGAAACAATACTAAACCAAAAAGATGCAAAATCAGCAAGCTTAACCACATCTTTGATGGTTTCCTTTGATTGCTTGTGCATTGTTTCCAATAGCTTCTTCTCCACCAGATACAGTTTCAGTTGTGCTACTTTCTTACTAGTACTAAACAAGCGGTTGACGAACTCTAATTTCGGAATATCCTTGTCCAGATTTGCAGGTTGTCCATGTAGTCCCAAGCCCATTATCACAGCAATGTCGCACTTCGTAAACGATATAGATTTCCCACCAAGATTGAAACAACAATGCTCTAAGTCCCAACATTGCACCAACTCCAGTATAAACTTTTCTGAAGCGATGTGTGGGACGCAAAGAAAGTTCCAAAAGAAGTGGCTTTGATTACATCAATATGCTCGTGTCTCAATGACAATCTTGCAAGCAATTACCTGAACTGTCTTGTGGAACACCTCATGCCAATCCCCCTAGTTTCCATTGTCAGAAAGTTTTTCCCTGCATCACAACGGAAATAACCAATTATAAATATATACAACAATTTACAATCAAATAACCTTATCTCATTCAATCATTTAACAACATAATCATGGTGAAATCCATTCAGTAAACAATTTCCATATATTCAACAATATCTTCAATAAGGATTACACGTCTAACTTCAACTCTACTCACCCAGGGCATGAAGTACTCCACCTACTGGCGACCAAATCAATGACTTCACATGCAACTTCTACTTTGGGTCATTTCAGTGTATCAAGAAGGWGGAAAATTCAAAAGACCCGCCACCAAATGTTTGCCAAACCTAAACAATATCACACAAAACATACTATTCCATTGTTCACAGCATTACAACACTTACAGAAGCACCAAGGGAACTGAATGTCAGGTAATACCAAAATACAAAAGCATAGACACATCAATGATACATTACTTCACATGATTACACGTATTTACAAAGGAATATTAACATCTTGGACATGTTAAACATTGGAATCGAAGGCAGGGTGAAGGAAAAATTCCTTCTGACACCAATATAATATTGGGGCAAATCTCTCCTTGTCTTCCCCAAACTCACATTCCATCTTTCATTGATTAATTGTCTGTGATGTAAAAATACCCTAACGGTTGGAACCAAATGAATTTTGTATTACCAAAACCAGCAATCGCAGACACCACAATCATCTACACCAAATACCGAACGTATATTTATATTCCCATTCAATCTAAAGCTTGGTGTATACTTAATATATTCAACAAAATTTATACGATATTTGACCTACTCCAATACAAGTAACATCAACTTGCACTGTCTTCACTCCCCTCCATGGTTGATGGCCAGAATAATCTATAACATCTGACCTCTGAATAGGCTTCACCAGTGAGGACGAACGACTACAGTGGAGTTGATCACCTCAAAGACGAACTACCACCATCCACCGTGACTGGAATGAAGATGGAATGCAACACCTGCAGAGGGTCAATGTAGGTTAAAAAATGACAGTGGAACGACGAGGGTGATTGAAACCAGACGGCGATTAACTTGGACAGAGACTACCTTTATATACATTCAATGTACACCACTGACGAACTTGGACGCCGGTTTGCTTGGAACCGAATGCGGGGAAGAGGAATAAGGGGAATGAAAGTGCGGTGAGGTTCTTTGAAGAATGACAGTAGAACTAGGTGGGGGATTGGACGTGAACGGAAACTATGAAGACGGAGAATAGCTTCGAATACGGTCAATGTACGCCAGTGACTACCATGCACGCCGGTGACTGTAGGCTGTAGCAGAATGGGATCGGGGGGAAGATGGCGAAGGAGAAAAAAATCAGAACAGGAAGGTCGTTGTAAAAGTGCGCCTCACACGCACATCCTACCATCCCGTACTTATAAGTTATTATTGACGGGAGATGTTCCCAATGCAAGGTGGATGTGCCTGCGACGCGCCCATGTGTGAAAAGCACATCCCATTCTGCGCCCCACATGCACATTACTCCGGATCTCTTACATAAAAGAACTCTGCTCACTTCGACCCACAAGCCACAATTACGGGTGATCACGGGCCGGGCTTTGCAATTATTATAAGGGTTATAGCTCATGCTGGGCTCAGCCCGCCTGGGATTCCGGGCCTGAAACATAAATCTTAGCTCATGTCTATACCGACTGGGGCTGGGTCAAGCCTAATTCTGGGCTAATATTATTCATATATAAAACATTATATATTTATATATTAAATGATATAAAATGTATATAAACTTATTTTATACATTATATAATATAAAATATTACATATAATATAAACTATGCATATCATGTTATAACATTTATATATAAAATATAAAATATAATGTAAAATAACATGTATGCATATGTATACATTATAYACAAAATGTGTAAGTTTAAATATATGTAGGCTGGGCTTGAAGTATTAAGCCCAAGCCTGGCCCAAAAAATTGTGGGCCTGATGTCGGTCTAGGCCCAAGCCCGGAATTCCCAAGCCAAGTTGGGCTAGGCAAAAATGATCACCCCTACCTACAACACACTACCTCAATGAATTGGAAACATCTCCCGTGCATACTATGTAAGAGGTTAGATGTTTCCCATGTGTGGCTGCAATATTATGTGGGTAGATGTGGGACAGAGTTCTTGTGAGTAGGAGACTCGGACTTGCATTGGGAAGTGGGAACTATCTCCCATACTTGTTATTGGGAGATGTTCTGAACACATGGTTGGGTTGTATTGTGGGGTCATGTCAACTCGTTGAAAGGGAGAAAATTTCTTTCCAATAAATGTTGTACTAGAAGGGTCCCATGCGATGCACGGGATGGGGCATCTTCTTTGTCCTTTGCCGTCATAGTCAAGACACTCCACCCTGTCCCCGGTGGTGGAGTGGGTTCAAGGTGAGGCACCTATTCCCTATAAGGGATGGGGAATCCCCAAATTTTCCCCACCTTGAAGCGACCACTTAAAAATAATCTAATTTGTAGATATTTTACAAATAGGATTATGAGAATTTGGTGGTATTTTATAAATGGAATCGCAAGATCCTATGATTATATGAGTATAAGGAAACAATAGAGATATTTTAAAAATTAATATTAAAAATACTAATATTTTACTAATTTACCATTGGGTTTGAGGAATTATATGCAAACACCGTCCCTAATCTGAAGCAAAAATATTTTCCCCATCCCCACCCTATCTCTTCCCCATGCCTATTTAAAATTTGAGAAAACTTGCCCCATTCAGGGTGGGGCAGGGTAGGGTCCTAGTTTTATAGGGAAAATTGTCATCCGTACAATTCTAATAAATTTCTATAACTAATTAACAATTAGTAATTAAATAACAATAAATTCCAATGTTTTATGATAATTTCCAAAAATTATTGAAATTGCTGTTGATTAGCAAAACTATATAGTAAACTAGTTATTTACAATAACAATAAATTAATATGAATTAATGTAAATTATTTACTTTTTAAGCCTAAATTATTTACTATTAATTAATGTGATGTAATTATAGTATATTAATGTAATTATGGTAAATTATATTAATTTTAATTAAAAGTAAATAATTTGTTGTTAATTAATATAAAACCAAGTATGGTTGAAGTCAACTAAGTGGTCTAGATCGATGTTGATAGATTTAATAATTTTTCTCAAAAGTAAATAATTTGTTGTTAATTAATATAAAACCAAGTATGAAACATTTTTATAGATTAATTTCTTTATTTAATTTTCCTATTTTTTTTAATAATTGTTTAGTTGAATAATAATAATGGACTATTATTTAAATACTTTTAGATAATTATTGTTTTCATAGATTAATTTCGCAATTTTTAATTATTATTTATTTAAAAAATTATGGATTATTAGTTAAAGAGTTTCCCTGAATTATTTGATAATTGTTAATAATTATTAATTTTATAGAAATTAGTAAATTATACTAATTAGTAATATCTTTTATGAATAAATAATTTTTGTAAAAATTTAATGAAAATTTATTAAATTACATTAATGATTAGTGTAAATTACGCTAAACATTAAAAATTTGAACATTTATTAATTAACCAATGGTTAGTTTTCACTAATGGTTGATAAGTTTCAAGTGACCAACTCCCTAACTCAACTAGATCATTTTGGCTAGCCATACAATCTCCAACCGAACTAAATTGCCTAGTGAACACTCCTAATTTCAACTAAATTAATAATATTATCTCTAACAAATAACAATATTTCAATCTCCAATAATGATTGAAAATTTATAGCAAAAATACACAATTGCTGAAAATATATTTATAATGAAAATACAATAAATAACTAATAAAAAACTTTAATACATCTAAGTTAATTAATCTATTTACACTATTTCAATAATATTTATTTTTTCATGTATTTATATTTTATTTTCTTATTATAGTTACTGTAGAATTTTGTTATTTAATCAATTTTTCGTTTTTTAGATAATGTTTAAAATATGATTTAGTATTCAGTTTTTTATATTGAAAACATTTAGAATTTATTTAAAAATAATATATAAAACATAAATAATACCTTGCCTTGCCCTGAACGAGGCCAATTTTTTTGAATCTTAAATAAGGATGGGGAAGAGACAAAGTGGGGATGGGAAAAATATTTTTGCTCCAAATCAAGGATAGATAATGGATGGAGTTTGCATAAAATTCCCCAAACCTGATGGTGAATTAGTAAAATATCAGTAGATTTAATATTGCCTTTTAAAATATCTCTAAGTTTTTCCTCATATTCTTAAAATTGTAGGATCCCACAATTTCATTTATAAAATACCACCAAATTGTCATAATTCAATTCCTAAAATACCCCCATTTTCCCATAATCCTATTTGTAAAATATCCACAAATAAGATTTTTTTAGGTGGTTGCCTCGGGGTGGGGATTCCCCATCGCCATTGGATGCCTCGCCTCCATCCACCCCGCCACCAAGGACGAGGCGGGGATAGGGTAGAGTGTCTTGACTATAGGGGCAAGGGACAAGGAGGGGTGCCACAGCCCGTACACTGGGTGGGGCCCTGCTAGTTATAATTACTTTTGTGCTTTTGATAATTTTTTTTTAAGTTATAACATAATTTTATTGTTTAATCTATTTTTTGTTTTTAAAATAATATATAAGATATGAATTAGTTATTAATATTTTGGCATTTAAAGTATTTAAAAAATAGTTATTTATAATATTACTTAATTATTTAAATAATACCATTATTTAAAATTTTAAAACATTAATTATTTATTAAATTTAATAATCCATGAAAGTATAATACTATTATTACATAATTTTTTTATTTTAACTATTTAAATAATATGTAAAATATTAATCTTTTTTGTTTTTTAAATTTTATTTCTTTAAAGTTATTATGTAATTTTAAATATTTTGTTAGATAATTATTTAGATATTTTTAATATTTTGTTATTTAAATAATTTGTATTTATGTTTTTAAAATATTATTTAGTTATTAAATTGAATAATCCATAAAATTATAATTTATATTGTTATTAGATAATTTAGTTATTAATTTTTTAAAATATAAAATTATTATTATTTCAAAAGTTATGAAATTTATTATAATTATTATTCTACTCTTAAGAAAATATTTTAAAATTTATTACATAATTTCGTTATTTTAACTATTTAAAATTTAGTTATGTTATATATATTATTTATTTAAATATTTAAATAATATGTAAAATATTTAATATTTTTTGTTATTTAAAGTTTATATCTTTAAAGTTATTATGTAATTTTGAGTATTTTGTTACATAATTATTTAGCTACTCTTAATATTTTGTTATTTAAATACTTTTTATTTATGTTTTTAAAATATTATTTAGTATAAAATTCATTGAATAATCCGTAAAATTATAATTTATATTGTTATTACATAATTTTATTTTGAATTTCGTAAAAATATAAAATTGTTAATATTATGAATATTTTTAATCCTATTATAATTATTTTTTGTGTTTTTAATAAATATTTTAAAGTTATTAACATAATTTCGTTACAATACTTAAATAAATTTTAAATGTTTTAATTGAAACTTTCTTTAGATAGATATAGRTGAAAAGTGGGGGAGAKGATAAATAAGAATTAGAGATAATTTAGGAGATAAATAAGAATTAGGGAGAGATAGAGATAATTTAAGAGAAAGTGGGGGATAACGTAATAAAAAAGGAGATAAGCCATGTGAGGTGGCAACTCTTAGTGCTTAAAAATAAGTGCTTATTTGGGCCATTAAGCACTTATTGGTATTGTGGAAATTAGCCCGAAATAAGTGCTTATTTTAAAAGAAGGGCTTATTTTTTAAGCCCAAATTTCTAGTTTTTTTAAGTACTTATACAATAAGCACTTATTCAATTTTTTTCTTCCAAAATTATCCCTAGTTGAATTTTATAAAGTGTTATCGTAAAATTGCTTTTATTAAAGTACTTTATGAAAACACTTTTATGAAAGCACTTTTAAGAAAGAACTTTTATGAGTATTTTTATAAAAACACTTATGAAAGTACTTTTACAAAAGCACTTTTAGGACAACTTTTATGAGAATATTTTTATAAAAACACTTTTATAAAAGCACTTTCATAAAAATGTTTTTATAAAAATAATTTAATAAAAGTRCTTTCAAATGATATATTTTGAAAATTTGAAAGAAAATGAAAGACAAAATAACTACAAATGCTTATTCAAGTGCTTACTAAAGAAAATGACTACCAAACGCTCAATATAAAATAAGTGTTCATTTTAAAAAACAAACACTTGAAAAAGTTAGGTGCCAAATACAGAAAAATACTTATTGGAATAAGCACTAACTATTCTGCCGT